TTTCACAGGCGAGACTCCTTGTTGTCAATCAACGTAAAAAAAACCCTGAGAGAAACTGGAGAAAACTTCCTAAAATGGGCTGTTTGCTGCACATCTACTAAAGTCGTCGAAAGTGTACTGTGACAAAGTTGATGATTGTTAGTGATGTTTGCCATTTTGGCAGTCTGCTATGAACGGTTATTTTACAGTGTCTTGAGAACTTTTGACATGCTCTAGTCAACTCAGTAAATTCTGTATCTGGTGCACAGTGCCACATAGTTCCTTCAAAACGTGACCAAACAGATATTGCGGTAAATTTTTGCAGTAGGTAGGTCCAACACCATGCATTTTTCGCCACTGTGATTTGTTTTCTTGAAGTCTAAGGGGTGCCAAGTAGAAAATTTTTATTCATCCACGGTGTACCGATTTCGGTGGTTATGCCGTTAGCGGGTAAAATGGAGTAAAAATCAGCTTGACGTAATTTTCGCCACAACAGATAGTTTGAGGAGCAATGAAGTGCACGCCCGAATTTCCAGTTGAAGAAACGGTGAATGAGCAAGCGGAATAATTTGGAGGAAAGATTATTGTAGCATGTATTAGTTTTTTAGAACTAGTCGTACATTGTGATTTCACAAAAATTTAAGTTGCTCCATTACGATCGAAGGTTAAACGGCACGTATCGTACAAAACGATCTTATTTCTTAATTCTCAGTAACTTTGTGAGTAGTGCATTAAGTATACACACGTATGGCGACTTCTTGAATATCGTATCAACTGAAGCATGAGGCAGCCAGGTGCAGCAAATTCAGTTGCCTGGAGACATCAAAAACGAGAGATTCAGCTGGGTTTCAGGTGAGTCTCTCGCAAAACCAAATTTGTTTGCAAAAGAGAGCATTCCTTTGATCTTAGTCCTTGTTTGATGTCCAAAATTTACTGTCTAGGGGAAAAAGGTACGAATTTAGTTTTCATTCGACTTGTATCCTTACAAGCATTTAGTAAATATTTTTGAACCCACTTTTCTGGCCTGTCTCGATTTTTGATCCATCACACAAGTTCGTCTGCGAAAAGCCCCGAATTCCTTCACATAAACGCCAAGAAGCACAAAATAACCGCGACGTTCCGAAATGCGAACCATTAAACATTAAATACTAACTGTACGGCGAAATGCGAGTATATATAAGATGTTTCGCAAACGTAATAAGGGGTTCGACAAATACTCTCATATGCAAATCAATTAGGTTTTCACGAGAGACTCAAGTGAATCGCTCGTTTATGATATTCTACAACTGGAAGTGCTACACAAAGGCCGCCTCATGTTCCAGTTGACACGATATTCGAGATATCGCAGTATACTTTTATGAAAGAAACTACTCACAAGATTGCTGAAAACTCACGGACAGCCCACGCCCGGTTTTGCTCTTTTTGGAGATCATCAGGTCGGGACTGCGCCTGCCTGATGAGCCCCAAGAAGGGTAAAACCGGTCGTCGGCTATCGAAGAGCTTTCAGCAACCATGTGAGTAGTTTCCTTTATGAAGTAAAAGGTTATTTTTCACTCGCTTGCTTTCCAGTGGACAGATTATCCTAAACAGTTTCACCATACGAAGGCTGAAGCAGTCACTGATCCATCCTGTGTGCAGTTATCACATTTTCAGCATTCATCAAAGAGGAGGAGAAACCTTGTCATTTCGCATTTACATGGAGCACTAGAAAATCAGTTTTACTCACTGAAAGGCAACAGTTCGTCAACATTTTACCCCATCAAAAATCACAAAGGACCTGAAGACTAACTGGAAATAACTGCTGATCCATCGTACTTCATTTCTTGTTGATATTTCACACAAAACCACCAAGGGTAGTTTACACGACCGTGACCCCGTAGACTCAACTATAGATGCGTGCAGCCCGATCAAATGACGGTCAAAGTAGAGGCTCAAAGAAACCCTTCACAATCAAATTTATTATCATTTATTATCATTTATTTTTGAAGAGCATGGTCACAAACATAAAAAGTGAATGCAAGCTATGAATGCGAAAGAGCAACAGGAAAATATGGGAGAAAAGAGAGAGAAGTCTGATTCGAAATCATGCCAAGAACAGTTCCAGTCTGATGAGATGAATCCCAAAGTATGTAAAGATTTTGAAATGGAAACACGCGTCTAAGGACCAACAACCAAAGGAAGGAAAAACAATGGTGAATGCTCTTCAAGGCGCAGTGTGCGCTAGCACAGTCAAGACACGCACATCAGGCACAAAGTGACCGTCATACTGGGTCTGGTGTGAGATTAAATGGCAAAAATGTACCTTCAACGCCATGTACCGCGCATAAAAGTGTCATAAGTACGCAGGGAGCCCACAATGGCAAGCAAACACAAGTCACTGACTGCGACCTTAGTAAGTCCCAGCCCAATAACAGCCTTAGCGGATTGAGGAAAGCAGATCCCTCGATAGGAGATGATCACCGGTTGGTGAACCAAAAAGTCGATATCACAACCGATGGCATGTAGGGCTGAGATTATGGCGAGGGAATGTTCATCAGCACCATACTTCTGCTTCTTCTCATTCCACACAGTCCCTCCACGCCGATCCGAGTCTATGCTGACGTCTATTACAGTTGCACGGCGATCTCGAACAGCGATTAGGTCAGGTTTAATGAACGACGTAGAAGTAGGGGTTCTCAACTCCTCGAAGACGGTGTACCCCAGTCGACGGAGACGTTTTGCA